ATCTGACTTAATCCTCATTTCGATATGATGGGTCTTTATATCAGTAAAATTATCATTTGACTGTTCTATCAGTTTTTAATTTTATTTTAACAACATATGTACTAAAAGGTACACAACAACAAATGTATAACTACAACAAAAACTATCAAATGTTCATTTGTTAACTGGTGTGATATAACAAACAGACAGAGGTGTGTCGCTCTAACAAGTGTGGATGAAGTTGAATCAAAGCCTTTAAAATCAGGCTCACCATCATCAGTATCACTAAAAGTTTCTGGTATTCCTCCTCTGTAATAAAGGCATCAGAATCCCACTCAACAACAATCTCATCCTCTGTGTCTCGCGAGCGCCCCCTCTGGTGGGGAAACTTTTGTCATGTACACCAACTTTTACAGAACACCGGTAGACGGCAGCCATTACAGACGACCGTGTGTTTGTTGTTGTTCCAGGAGAAGCCCAGTCGCACATTAATATCAGTTTGTTATGCAGGACTGCTTTATTTCTTTTTTTTTCACATCATGTTGCCTGCTTGGATCTGTTACTATCTCGCTCGGAGGCACGAAGTAGTGTTAGAGGTAAGATCGCTTCAGCCGCTTTTTACGACGTGGTTTCATTTCCGGACTCTGGGATTTTGTTAATGAGGCCGATATTTCAGTTAAAATACATAAGTAAAAATATTTATCCTAGTACTACCCCCCAACTTTGTGCATGATTTTATGGATTAAATTTTACGCATTATACTTGAATAAATATGGTAGTTTCAAAACCTTCGAAGTATGTCTGCACCTGTCCACGGGTGTTCATGAACAAACCGCTGCAGCTCTCAGGTTTAGTTCTCCAGATGTTCACCAGGATTCAGATCAGGGCTCAGTGGGCCACTACAGAACAGTCCAATGTTTGGTTCCGAGTCCTTCTAGGATGTTTTCAGGTCATTATTTTGTTAGAAGAGCTGCAACTGAGACCAAACTGTATGGYGTTTAAACCATGACAATACGATAGCGAAAGAAAACGAGAACTCATGCGAGAGACAACGACATCGCGCGTGCGCAAATATAAATACTGTGCGTGCTTTGAAATATCCGCGCGAGAGGAGATTTAAAGGCACACACGGGATTTAAATTTGCGTGCGCGAGATCTCGTTTTTTCTCGCGAGAGTTCTGGCAGTATTTTGCCACCATAAAACATCTGTAGCATCCGTTCGCGGAACTCAATCCCCTCTCGCGCGGATATTTAAAGGCGCGTAAACGATTTCAATTTGCGCACGCAAAATCTAATTTTTTCTAGCGAGAGTTCTGGCAGTATTTTGCCACCATAAAACATCTGTAGCATCCGCTCGCGGAAGTCAATCCCCTCTCGCGCGGGTATTTAAATGCGCGCGCACAATTTAAATTTGCGTGCGCAAGATCTCGGTTTTTCTCGCGAGAGTTCTGGCAGTATTTTGCCACCATAAAACCCCTGTGGCATCCGCTCGCGGAACTCAATCCCCTCTCACGTGGATATTTAAAGGTGCGCACACGATTTCAATTTGCGTGCGAGAAATCTCGTTTTTTTCTAGCGAGATTTCTGGCAGTATTTTGCCACCATAAAACATCTGTAGCATCCGTTCGTGGAACTCAATCCCCTCTCACGCGGATATTTAAAGGTGCGCACACGATTTAAAGTTGTGTGCGAGATCTCATTTTTTCTAGCGAGAGTTCTGGCAGTATTTKGCCACCAGAAAACTTTCAGTCAGAGCAGCGCAATTCACTCCAGAAAGCCTTGATAGTCTTGAGATCCCCTGCACATATTAGACGCCTGATAGGACTCGTCTCATCTATCCAAAGGGACATTCTCAAATATAAATGTAGTTTTTTTTTCTGATTTAGTTTTCTCCCCAATCATTTTCCAATGACTAATGACGCAAACCACCACTGATGAACCTCTAATCTCTTTGGAAGCTGTTCTGGAGTCTTTGGTTTTCATTTGTGTTTTCTGTCTCTTTAATTTGTCGTCTATGTTTCTCATGTGGACACGTCCACAGAGGTCGTCTCCAGTCCTGTGGACATTAAACTTGTATACAAAACGTGCAGCAGTGATCACAGGAACGACGGGCTTTAGAGTTACCATCCTTTGCAGTCGAGACCAGATTATTGTTTTATGTGAAGAATTCTGTTGAACCAAAATTCMGAAGCAGTGTCAGATTTTCGTTTTTCTTATTTTTATCAAGTTGTTTCAATGTTTGTTGTTTTTCACGAARGAATACAAACACATGTATCTGCATCAATGACAGTTATATCCAAGTTTTTTTTCCTCGAGGTATTAAGTATTAAAAAGTCACACCAGACACTATGATATGGTTTGTTTTTGAGTGTGAGCTCAATATTTAAAATCCTCCTAAATTAATTGATTATTATTATTATTATTATTATTTGTATTCAAAAAGCAACAGGATGCATCATCGTTTCAGGTTTGGCAAACTTGTAATAAAAAGTGAGTTTTCAAATTTGGAAAAATATCTATGAGTGCTACCCTGTTAGCCTGACGCTACGAAAAGTGTGTCGACTCTTTGTTTTTAAGATAATTTCTTTAAAAATAGCTTAATAAGGATATAGTTTTCTCTGTTTTAAATGATCGCTATGAATTTATCAAATTTAAATAGCTCACCCCGCCCCTCTCTGGTGTTCGGTGAAACAGTATAATCGTGTCAGTGTGCACCTCGTCCACAAAAAATTAAAGCTTCAGGAGTTTGAAATCTTAGTAGCTAAAAAAAGTACCTTCATAAAATGTACAAACTAGTACATGTAATACCTAATTTCAGTCAGAAAAGTGGGAAGACGGGAGCTCTAGGTTCTGCTGCTACAGAAACACGGAGGACAGACGAGACGATGGCCTCAGCAGCGTTGTAGCAGCGCAGTCAGGACGATGACAGCTGTGCAAAAATGACATTCTGACGTCYCCCAGAGCTCCTAGTTGTGAGGATGTGAGAACGAAGGTGAGGATGAGGAGGGCTGCTGGTTGGGCTGCAGGCTGTGGGAGCGCGAGGGTCGCTGGGGTCTCTGCTGGGGGCTGGCGGCCCCTGGATCAGGCGGATCCAAACCCGGGCTKCCCTCGGTGACCTCTGTGTCCAGCTGGGCCGGACATTCAAAGTGGACGCAGTGGAACACCTGCAGGTTTAATTTAACACCACACAGACCTTTACTTCTGTTACACTGTTTATATAAGATCTTCAAAAAGAAAAATACCAGGTTTGACCTCGTTAGCTGTGTTGTGAGTCCCAACGATACGGATGAAGGAAGCTGGCTGATTCTCAAACTTCAGGGTCTGCCATGACCTGTAACAAATACACAGTTTATATAAACTAACAGATTGCATCTTCTGTTTATAAGATTTAAATCAACATGTTTGTCTCCTCAGCTACTGAAGTTCTTCCAAAACAACCTGCTCTGAATGATGTGGGTCAGTCTGAACCACACACCACTAATATCCTGATTTTAATGATGTAACGTTTATTCTGAGTAGGGCTGTGTATTGGCAAGAATGTGGCGATACAATACATATCATAACAGAGGGGTCACAATACAATATATCCCGATATATTGCGATACTGTAAGCAAGGCAGTATATTGTCTGAACCACACACCACTAATATCCTGATTTTAATGATGTAACGTTTATTCTGAGTAGGGCTGTGTATTGGCAAGAATTTGGCGATACGATACATATCATGACAGAGGGGTCACGATACGATATATCCCGATATATTGCGATACTGTAAGTAGGGATGTCCCGATAGCACTTTTTCACTTCCGATACGATACCGATATTACAACTTTGAGAA